CATTAATATTTTCTCTTTCTTCTCGCTTCTTTCGTTTTGCTGCTCCAGATTCATAGCGGCGTTTCATATTATTTCCGGTTTCTCTAAAATTTTAATATAATCAATCACTCCAAGTCGAAGTGGGGGCATAGCATATTGTTATTAAAAACGATGCTTTGCCGCTTACTATAATACTAAATTTATTTGAATGTAATCTACCTGTTTGCTTTAATAATTAGCGTGTCGTAGTACCTAGTATTATATACGTACACTTTGCAATTTATATATGAATATGAACACGTTACACGTTAAGACAGTACCTATCTTTCGCACACGGCTCACGGCACAATACTAGTGGAAAGCCGTAAGTTAAGTCGCTTAGTCGCCCTCTCCATCGCAAGATTGCAGGAAAGGTTTCCACTCCCTCCACTTTGTTTAAATGTTCATCACTCATCATGGATTAGATTATGCATTAGATTTTCCGGTAAGGTGTGACTTTGCTACTGTTAAAACAAGCAATCGCAATGTGTAAAATGTGCAATAAAAGCATAAATTTGGGGCCCCTAAAATTACGAGGCCCTAGGCGTGCGCCTAGTGCGCCTATGCGTAAACGCGTCACTGCCCAACAATAGGAGCAGCTAGACGTATTACCGATTGCGTTGGTTTTCCGAACTTTTGCTCGTCAACGCTTAGAGTAACTCCATCGCTGTCCTTTCCGCAGTAAATATAGGCGTTGAGAAGGTAATGGGTTTTCGCATCGTTTAGTGCCATAATTTTTATGCCGTATTTCCTAGGCTTGTTAGGAATATACATTCTAAACTTGCAGCGTCCTCTAAAACCAACAAGCATTTCATCAACACAAGCGTACTCACCAATTGAGTAACATGCTTGACAATTCATTATAAACATGTCGAATATTTTAGATATTGCCGCAGTAGGATCAGTTTTCTTCCTATCTTCTCTATCTAATGCATGATCAAAGCGAAGGCATGTTAAAATGACTAAACAACGTTTCAGTGATAACGTGCATCGGAATACATCGCGTCCCGTACCATCTGTGGCAAAAAGAGATTCCAGGTCTTCATGGTTTGATTTAAAAATTGACGTATACATCAAGATGCCCATAAAAGCTCGGAGCTCCATAAGATCGAGATCTTTGTATTCACTGCGGTTTTGTTGAACATTTTTTTCACGAACTTCTAACAATTTCTCATTGGTACATTGGAGTACTTCATTCAATATGTCCTCAGTAAATAAAAGTTCCCAGCAAGAAAGTTGTGTAGAATGCGTGCCTTTTTGTTTAGCAGGTCCGATGATGCCAGGAAGATGCGAGATGATGTTATGTTTTCTCGTGCGCACATTTGGATTTGGAGGGTCCACAGACCACTTAAACTTATTTTTCCCATAATAACTGCTACGAACCTTTTTTCTTTTCTTTTGTATCGGTTGATATTCGTCGGAAGATGCGTCTGTCTCTAAATGCTCACTTTCCACCTCGGAATTATCAGAAACACTTATCTCGGAATTTGAGTCATGGTCGCTGCAAAAGTCAGGTGCAACTGTATCTTCATCTCCACTAAAATCACTCTCCAACTCATTTAATTGAAGTGCAGCCCACTCTTCAAAGCGAGGATCATCGACGTTCATACGTTGTGCAGAAGAAAGAGAATCCATTTTAAGTTGCGAACAAAAATAAACTGTAACGTAACTGGTGACCTGGGGTTTCGCATACCCCACGCTCATTAAACGCTTAAATATTTAAGTTTAGCGCCACTGCACTAACGTGTGTGATAGATTGAACTGGCTACGGTGAACTAACTGAAAGCTATATGGGCTACCAACCATCTCTTCCCACCACAAACGGGATCGCAATAATTCCAAGTTTCAGTGGGGTTTGACAAACCCCACATCACCAGTTACGGGTTAAAATTTGCACTTCCATAGTTGAAACTTAATGCAAACATCAACAAGAAACTAAATAATATTTGGAAAAATTCGTCTTATATAGACTCAACATTAAATTGCTCTTTAAAAGCACATTAACTCTCAATAGATATTAGAAAAGGATCATTCTCAAATATTCTTCTTTTTTTTTGGAAAAATATAAAAAAGAAAATTTGTTTGTGTCGCTACAATGGACAGGCCATGCATATTATTTGACCTTGCAGGTCTTAATTGCATGACCACATTCTTTCGTCCTTTGTTGTTAACGAGGCAGGTACCTACCCTTCATTAGGTACCGCATTTTTGAATCACTTGTCATTTAGACTTACTGCTGTAAACAACTCACGTTGTCTGTTATGTATGCTCGTATGTATGTTTGTATTTTCAATACAAAGATTTGGTGCAGCAGCACACGTGTATTTTTTACGCAAATAAACAAAATTAACAATTTGTTGCTATTAAGTAAAATCGATCTTTTTGAAAATCCGTATTTCGTAACTTTCTTTGACAACAAAACAAAATGCCAAAAAGTAAAAACAAAACATCAAAAACCACAATAAAGTATTAAAAAATTTAATGTTTAAAACATTTTTTTATTATTTTATTGTGGTTTTTATAGTTTTATAGTTCCAGTGATTCCAATATGCCAAACCCGATCACCGTATTCTTTATAGTCAATGCATAATTAAAACACACATTAAAAAAGATGCATTGTCTGTGAAACTGGGTGACTCTCAGAGTGTTCTAATTTTTTTACACATAGAGGTGTAACGCTAAAACAACTTTTCCAACAATTTTCCCTATGATTTTTGCCAATCGACGGCCTGTGGAATTTTCATAGTTAAGTAACAAATGGAATAATTTCCGAAATATAACAAGAAATGTAACGTTATAATATCCTCCTATGGATATTTAAGCCTCTTGACGAAGATTATTGTAGGCCAAAGGAAATGTGCTTTTATAAATCGTTTATGATTACTTTTTTTACTGGTTATGCTTGCAAACAATGTATACCACTAGAAAGATGAGAGGAAGTTTCATGTGAAACAAAAACTAAGTTTTTTTACGTCTTTTTAGATTATATTTGGAATATTTAGATGTACTCGTTTTTACTTTGTTTTGTGTTTGCGCAATTGGGTCAATTTTAGTGAACATTGGAGCCAATTTATCCCTAGTGTGTTTATGATAAACATCATCAGTTTCTGATATTATTATTAGGTCTTTACGATTCGAATTTGTCTTTTTTGTTGCTGTTGTTTTTTGTCTTTTATGTTTTGGGCGATTTCAGAATATTGTCTTTTAAGATGGTTTCTGTGGTCTTGAACATATTTAGAAATTATATCTCCTTCCGTTATATCGAATGGTTTTGTATTATTGAAATGCCCGGAAACAATTTGCAATGGAGTGTAATCCTAATCAGTAGCACAGTGTATTGAGTTGTTATAATGAATACTTTATTCGGGTATTCAAAGGTTCTTGAGGGTTCTGCTGTGTTCCACAAGGGTTGAGCGAAACCGTTCAATGTAACTGTTAGAGCGCTATTAGCCAGGGCGACCAGTCACTCCACCGGTTGCGCAACCGGTGGAGTGACTGGTTACTCGCTGGTTTTCTGTGCCGGTCACCGGTGGAGCAACCAAGAGTGTACTGTTACAGGTCCATTTTTAGTTAAGTTTTGCTTTAGTTATTTTGATTTTTTAGGTTAGGAATTTGTTTATTTTGTTTTGATTTTCATCACATAGGCGTGCCTATTTTCTTAAATTTCTTCTTTATATTTCTTCGCTTCTTTGGATTCTTGCTCTCTTCTTACAATTGTATTTACCTTTTCACGCTTTAAACGCTTTTCCTTTCCTTACTGTTTTCACTATTCTAATTTTCGAAGCTTATGTGTACTATTTTATTCCATGTTACGCCTCTGGTCCGCTTTCAGTGTCATCTATTGTCAGTTCTTGTAAACTATGCTATTCTTTCCCGCTCTTTTCAAAAATCTATTCTTCTTTTCCCGCTGGCTTTTTATGTTCCTTAATTATTGGTATTACTGTTCGTTTTTTTCAAATTCTTCTACGTTTCGTTTCCGTTTTTGGTCAATTGTCAATTGTATGGTGTGCTTGTGAGGTGCGGAATTTTTGCAGCCGCTTTCATCCGACAATTTTGGGATTTCTACCCTCGTCCTATAGTCTCCACTCATTACCAGGAATTGGTATTTCTTCCTTGGAAACCCTATTTTGGGGATTAAGAGTGGAAGAGGAAGCGCATTTGTGTTTGTGAAGTTATCTACAACCAATATATTATATATGTTACCCTTGCTCGCCGGATTTCAACCCTTGATCCGAGCTTTATTTCACCGTCCACCAATTTAATTGAGCCTACATACATATCTATATATTGTCTCTACGTTAAGGCCCACGCCATCTCGTAAGTAGCCTTTTTGTGATAGTTGTAGCTCGTAATGTTAGGTTTTTGTTCTAGGGCCTTGTAGTTTTAGTTATTTTTGTCTATACTTGTTATACGTACCTATCTACTACTAAGAAATCTTCGTCTTCGTCCATCTCCAGTCTTCAGTCGTCCGTCTTCAATCTTCAGTCGTCCGTCTTCAATCTACAGTCGTCGTCTTCAGTCTTCAATCTTCTTTCGATACCCTCAAATTTCTTTTCCTCGTTCCTTTCTACCCGCATCCCTATCCTTAATCTACCCCGTACTTAGCCACTGGGCTACCACCGCCAAGTCCGCCGAACAACTGCTGGACAACTTCAGGAGCCAGAACAGCTAAGTTCAAGTTATCTTTTTACCTTAAAAAAAAAAAAGTTAAGTTTATTTAGAAAAAAAAACCCATCACATTAATTCAGTCACCCTACATCTTAATAAGTAACTGAGTCAAATTTTATTGTTTTGCTGTGAGACGAGATCTCGTACCGTTTTCTTTTTTTGCCGTTTTTCTTCCCTGTTATCATTCCGTGCCATTATCAATCATCATCATTCGCCCTACAATATCTGTATTAAATTCTTGAGTTCCTTGCAGAATAAATACCTTTTCTTTCCCGCTATCTTTCTCTATTTCTTTTTTTTTAGTTTTACCCCTGCATTTCCAGACCAACAGGAGCAGGTTTCTAATTTTTTTCCTGTACGGCTTGGAACTATCGAAAAATTAGTGGCGCCTAAATTTTCGGAGCATTTATAGGTATTTCTTCCAGGATCGTCGAACCACCCCTACCACCGAGAGCAGCTGGAGCCGTAGTGCTGGGTTTCCTATTCCCTGCTAGTTTTCTTCGTCACAGTACTGTGGAAATTTCCGCTGGAAACAGTCATCAGAAGCTACAATGGTGCTGTGTACAGAGGACGTGCTACTACTAGCTCTTCTTATCAAGAAGAGAAGGAAAAGAGTTAGGAGGTTTCGGAGGCATCCTATGCTGATGACCAGACATAGTAAAGGACTGTACTATACGTTATTTGACGATCTTTGTGCAAGTGGAAGTAAGTTTTTTAATTATTTTCGAATGTCAAAACCTTCGTTTGATGAACTGCTGGGACACATCAAAGATGATATCACTGTGCCAGATACCCCTCTAAACAAAAGCATCCCTGCAGAAGAAAAATTGGCTCTCACATTGAGGTAAGTACAACTTTTAAAATGATTTATTTATGATTTCCTGATTTATTTAAAAAAAAAGTACAGAAAAATAATAACTGAATGTAACATTTAACATTTAAACTTCATCATTTAACTTTTAACTTTTAACTTAATCATTTAAACTTAATCATAAGATTCATAAGTAACATAGTCACTCATTTGAGAGAAACTTGGGGACACTATTGGTGTTGATTCTTCAGCGGAAGACAAGTTGGAGCCTTGTTGGTTACGTGGGGGTTGCAGAGTTGTCAAGCAAGGTGCTGTAATATGCAATGGTTGATATTGTTGCTGGTTCTGGTATTGTTGAGGAGGGTTCTGATATTGTTGATGAAGGTTCTGATATTGTTGAGAGGGACTGGGATGTTGTTGAGGGGGAAACATATGCGGAAAGTTATGTGTAGGAGTTGGGACAGTAACCGGCCATTGGGGACTCGTTCCTTGTTGTGCAGCGGCTATTGCGGAAATTATGTCCGATCTCAATTTGAGTTTTCTTTGAGGGGGAACTTGCTTAATTTCGGACAGAAGAGACATCAGAAATAATTTATCCTCGTCCTGTCCAACACTTTTTTCCTCAATTTTTCTTCGTTTCTAGTCCTCCTCCTTGAATCACCCTGTTTCTTTCCGCTTTCTATTGTCGCTGTGGGTGTATCAAATTCGTGCTCCTCTTGTTCCGGTTCCAATTCGTTTACATCAGCTGTTGAATTATCTTCCATGCTGTTTTTAGTTTTCTTAGAGATAGTTTCCAAAAAGCGTAGTAAGTCAAAGTGCACATATTTCTTTCTTGTGGAAGCACCAGATCCGCTCTTTCTCTCTTTCTGCATGAGCAGCTCTCTTGAGTAACAAGAACGAATGTTCTTCCACTTTTTCTGTACAATCGTTACTGTAAACAAACAAAACAAAAAACAATGCAATACCAATATAATTGAATGAGCGAGCGAAATTCTCTTACGCGAAAAATAAGCGTACACCTAGTATTTTTATTACCGAAGTCTTAAAGTGTATTTATTTTTCTGGTTACAGATACTTTGCTACTGGAACATCAATGACCGATCTGCACTTTCAGTACAGAATAAGCCAGCCTACGATATCTGTGATTGTACGCCAAGTTTGCAAAGCTATTTGGAACAGAATGAGACAAATCTGCTTTCCTACATTGACAGAAGAATACTGGCTGAAAACTGCTGCTGCGTTTTATGAGAAGACGAATTTCCCTCATTGTTTGGGAGCGATTGACGGCAAACATATTCGAGTCGTAAAACCGGAAAAAAGTGGATCTCTCTACTTTAACTACAAGAACTACTTTTCCTTAGTACTGCTTGCTATGTGTGACTAGGGTGACCAGACGTCCTCTTTTACCCGGACAAGTCCTCTTTTTGGTTATCAAACTGTTGTCCTCTATATATTTGGCGAAAACCGTTTAATCGTCCTCTTTTTATATAATATCGAAATAATTCCGTTTGCGCTGAACGGCGGCCGCACCTTTGCGTTTTGCTTGCCATGCAACCATGCAATTGAAAGCGTTATTCATATTTCAATGCTTATAGTAAGTTTATTGTTCAGTAGTTCAGTCATCTCAGTTGTGCTTTTTTCAATGTACCTGACGAATGTATAATTGAGTGTACTGTACGTGGTAACTTAAGGATTTAAAATTTAAATGTTTATAAAAGTAACGGTAAGCGTAATCATTATTAATATTCCCGATCATTTATTGGGCAAATCTTTTACAGATTGTACCTTTGCCTTTCAAAAAAATGCCGAAACGAAAGTGTAAATTCAATGAGGAATTAAAAAGCAAATATCCGATGTTTAACCAAACAAAAACAGAACACGAAGTTTACTGTCCACTCTGTTGTACGAATTTCTCAATAGCTAACAAGGGCAAACTAGATATTGAACAACATTTAAGCACCCAAAAACATAAGCAAAAAATTCGTTCGGCAGGAGAGGGCACTTCAAAGGTAACAGACTATTTTTTTCGACGGTTTACGAAAACTGAAGAACTTATCGCGGCAACAGAAGGAACGTTAGCGTTTCATACAATCAAGCATAACTTTAGTTTTAGATCTACCGATTGCACGACAAAATTAATGAGACATATTATACCTGATTCTGACATTGTAAAAAAAATATCCAGCGCTCGAACTAAAACTGAAGCTATTAGTAGGGGAGCTAGCACGAAATCCACTGAACGAGAATGATCAAAATTTTAACCGATGGAGTTCCATTTTGCCCTATCAGAGTATGCTAAAATCGATCGTCTGCCGCCTCAGGTCATACGACTTAAGGCGCTGAGGGTACTTCTTGTGCTACCAATTCTGAAAGGTTGTTTTTCGAGAAAATAAGTTATACACCAAATGAAAACGTTGATAATAGCTCTTAAAAAAATATTTAAAAAAATCGCGCACATTTGATAACTCCGTAAAAAAACAATTCTTAGTCGGTTTTTCACGAACTTTGTACGGATTTTTTCTTGTATCGTTTTTAAAAAATATAGTTCGTCGTCCTTCTTGGGAATATGTAAGTGATATGTATTATTGTTGTTCAACTTGGATATGAACTGTTCCAAGTCGTCATCGGTACATCTTCGTCTCAGATTGATATAGAATCTCTGGTTATACCTTCGGATATCTTTATTATCATTTGGTTTTTGTGATAGTTAAGTGGCTTGTCACAGTAAGGATAGGACAGAAGAGGGGGTTCGTCAGCGGTTGTTACATTATTTTCGTTTTCCTTAAAAAATTCTTGTATAGTCATATCAATGTCTCCTATATGAGCATTGTTCGTGCTAGTTGAGTTAGGGTGTATGGGTTTGTTTGAAAGTGGTATATTCCTAGACAAACTATCGTCGACATTATCTTTTCCTTTGATATAGTCTATTTCTTAATCGTATTCGGACAATAAAAGTTTCCATCTAACTAATTTCGAATTAGGTTCCTTCAGGCTTTCTAATCATTTTAGGAGTTTATGATCTGTTTTAATTTTGAAATGTGTGCCAAACAGGTCGAAAATACCTCACCGACCATATGATGGCAAGTAGCTCTTTTTCAGTAGTTGAATAGTTAGTTTCAGCAGGGTTAAGTGTTCTACTAGCGTAGCAAATAGGTTTCCCTAATTGTCTGAGAACTCCTCCTATGGCATATTTACTAGCATCTGTAGTTAAAGTAAATACTTTAGAGAAATCAGGGTAAGACAGGATGGGCTCATTGCTGAGTATTACTTTACATGTGTCGAAAGCATTTTTTAATTCTTCTGTATATTCGACTTTTAGACCTTTCCTTAAACATAGGGTCAAAGGTTTTGTTATTTTAGCTAAATTACTAATGAATTTTCGATAGAACCCAACCATACCAAGAAAACTTTTAATTTGTTTATGAGTTTTTGGTAAAGGAATTTTTGGTATCGCATCTATTTTTCTGGGGTTTGGTTTGATTCCTTCTGTTGTTACAACAGTCCGCTTGCCAAGTCGAGTGTGCTAAAGTACTGACGTCCTCCTAGCTTATCTAACAGATCATCGATGTTAGGAATTGGGTACCTATCCTGAATGGTTTTGCTGTTCAGTTTCCTATAATCCATTACCATTCTCCATTTTGCAATACCGCTACCATCTATTTTCTTGGGTACTATCCATATAGTGCTAGACTAGGGACTTGTGCTGTTTCTTATGAATATTACTTACTTGAGCTTCTTGGTTCTTCGGTGGACAGAGTCAAGAAATATATCACCGCATGTGTGTGTTTGCATACATTAAACTTTATGAAGTAGTCAATACATGTATATACATGAAAATTGTGTACACACGTACACTCCGCACGATAGTTCACAAGGACATGAAGTATGCTCTATATCTCATGACATAGAGATCCTTAATATCGTTGTCATCTTTATCATGTGATTTTACATAGTTTTTAAATATGTAGTCTCGAACCATTTTATTTAAAGCATAAATACATGCGCATATATATATATATATATATATATATATATAATTGCTCGATGAAATGCTGCAAGATGATATATTGTATTAATCCCCAAACCTTTTCTATATCGAAATGCCCAAAGAGATACTCTATCTGAATATGAAATATTCCTTTGTACCATTGTAACCATAAAAAATGTAAACCTTCATTAAACTCCTCATTATCAGTGCTTACCAATATAATACGTAAAGCTTTGAAAACCTTTACTATCAATTCTTTTGCCAATTTCAATCTACATTATGTGCAAGGAAGCGTGGTCTGCATGTCCCGGTTCTCTTAACAGCATAAGGTCGGCGGACCTTGTACGGGGCAGCATGGTAGACATGACCAGGTCTTGGTTCTCTAACAGTACACGGTCGTCGGCGAACGTCATCGCCGAGATCATGTCGCTTCTCGCCTCTCTACCCACGTCCGGCTACAAATGTTGGTACTTCGGGTGAATAAAGTCACACTGTTGTAGTCAAGGTAATAAGTAATCAAATTGAAAAGTTCCCAAATTTGAATTTTAGGAAAGAGAGAAAAGATACCTAGAAAAAGACCAAGAGTGATAAGATTTTAAAAGTGAACAGTGCAAATGTGAAATTACAGAGGAGAAAAGAAGGGTAAAGTAGAAAATTGAATTATTACAACCAAAGTTGAAAATTAAAGCTAAATAAATTTAATAAATCCCAAAAATGGATTTGAGGGTTCCAGCGATATTCTAAAAGGGTTCGTATGTATTTTTGATTTTGCGAAGGTTCCTTCATAGCTCTGGCACGAACTCAGGTGTCAGATGCATCACGATGAAAATGACACTGGTCTTTTAAAGGTTTCCCTATTTTTTCGCTAAACGTCTCTATGCTTCGGAACTGCTAATGGCGATAAAATGAGCTATTTTCTTCTCTGTGACGATTGTTGGAGACAGGCAAATGTTGTTTCCCTTGAGATTATGGTCCACAAAATCTCGAGAGTCGTTAATATCCGCATCAAACTTTTTATTTATAGTTATTTAAGCTACAAGGAATGTAAGTAGCGCATTAAGCTTCGAGGAAGTTCATTTCTTTAAGATTCTTCCAAGTAGGTTAATAGCAACTACATTTCGTGTTGCTTATTATATTACATTTTTCGCCCAAATGATTAACGGAATCGCTGGAGATGAATTGTGCAAATGTCAAATGTGACAGATGTCATTATTTTCCTCTGCATGTAAGTAATAAGATTGTAAAGTCTGCTGTCAATAGCAACCAATACTCGAATGTAATTGGAGCCTTACATTTGACGTCGTGTTATAAGTTACTCTTACAGAGACGGAAGCGATATATATATATATATATATATATATATATCTGCTGTCAATAGCAACCAATACTCGAATGTAATTGGAGCCTTACATTTGACGTCGTGTTATAAGTTACTCTTACAGAGACGGAAGCGTATATATATATATATATATATATATATATATATATATACCCCCAGGTTGTATGACTGAATTATTAAAAAAAATTGCCCCATCCAGACACTTAATTAATTTTTTTTCAAGCAAACTGCCGAAAATTCGTGTAACAGGTAAAAATATGTTGTGAAGTAAATTTATTTTAAACTCAAATATTATTTAAATTATTGTTTATGTAACTGTTCCATAAATTTTATTCCACTACAGCCTAAATCACGAGCCTTGGAGTGACCTTGACGGCCGAACTTCTGCGGATTGGTTTCGGGTTGAGGTTATCGAATTCCATCCACTTCCCATCTCCCAGAGACATCATTTCTTGTTGTTAGTGGTCTGCAGAATTTAACGATTCCACTTAGAATGTACTGTCGACCACGAAAGTTGATGTTCGTCCGGAAATCTTTCAGAGCAATAGATGGATCTTCTGAATTCGACGCCTCGCGGTTCCTAGCCTCGCAAATGATCGCATCGAGATTTTCAAATTCGAGGTTGTGCACTTTCGATGTAGATTACTTTTCCTGAAAATGTTAATTATATAGATATTGTTCATTAAATCTAGGAAAGTAGGAATGACAACTCAATGGAAGAGTAATATTACTGAATAAGATTTCAGAACTAGAGCAAGGTACTATTTCAGAAAGGACTCGAAGATGCCATATAAGAAGAAGCTCGAGGAATATGTCATTTTAAAAACATGTCTTTTCTGATCTGAATTTTTCGTCTTCGAAGCAAATCTCACAAGTGGTCAGTTAGCTTCCACTTTAGCCAGCAGAGCCATAGTTTCTTTCTTTAAAGAATGCCGCCTGAAAATTTGTTCAAGTGTCTAAAACGGGCCTATAATCAGCCTATAATTCTGATGCATTTCGTCCTTCATTTTTCTAAAATGGCTCTGCTGGCTTGTGGGACCTCATGCTTCGCTTAAGT